TGATCAAGAAAACAAAAACAAAGCAGTTTTTCCAGTCAACTTTGCAAAAACGCATTTTCTGTATTTCAGTCAACAGTGATATCTTTCAACAATATTTACGAATTTTATCTTTACCAATAAAAACTTCACGGTGATATCTATCAGGATGTGGATGTGCGCGGGTGTGGGGATGAGGTGTGGGTCTGGGTGTGGATATGGCTGTCTAAGAACTGACACCTACACACACTCTTTGATAGTTACTCACGAGGAGAGGAATGGTAGTTTTTCAATTGTCTAATATATATATGATCAGATCGAATAAAATGTCTCGTGTGGATAAACAAGGGAGGGGGGCAGTTTTTTGTATAAGTTATTTGACATGTATTTAGTTGACCAAAACAATGTACACAAAACAATACGAGAAACGAAAATGATCCTATTTTTGTGTATGCGCAAATCAATTTTAGCTTTTATTCAACGAATTTTTGGAATAAATATTTCTTTGACCGCCCAAAAATTTCTAGGATGTACTTTCTACTATTAGTTTTATCTTGTACTGAAATAATGAAAGTCGTTTCTCTATCCGAATGTATTGTTGTCTGTGTAACATCCGAACATATTACAAAAATGAACCACACGATTATAGAAAATGATGACATGTTATCAGTGTCGAACATTTTGCATTATAAATGCTAACCATTTATTTGTATAGTCATTGTCCATAGCTGGAATGTTAAGCGGAGAAACAATACTGTAAAATTGCTTGGCCGATAATGTTAATCGTTTTCCGAAAATCAACTCGAATAGCAACTCGTCGGCTGATTCAAATGAATGTCCTCGCATCATTGATCGCCACTGTTCGAAGGGAACATCGTTTATTTTTACGCCACACAATTTTGCACTTGTAACAATATTCTGAAATGCCACTCCACCGTCAGGATGAACAACATGATAGACATTTCCATACACACCAGGTCGAACGAGACTCAAACGAACGATATTGTTGGCAGCGAAATTTACTGGTAAAGTGTCGAGCTTCATGTTGAGCGCTTCGGTCGGATAGGAACCTGTTTTCAAGATGGCAGCGATGAATATTGTATGAAGATCGAGTGGATTGCAGGCACCACTGTTCGCGCTAGCGCACATTGAGCCCAGTCGATAGATGACAACTGGTAGACCAAAACAGCTAGCTTTTCTCATAAGTTTCTCTGCCACCCATTTACTTTGTCCATAACCAGTGGTCAGACGATGTGGTGAGATAGCGTCAATATGTATTTCCTCGACAATACCCGGTGGTAGAATACTGATAGTCGAGATATATTGTACTGGAATGCAGTTGGATGGATAAGTTGCAAGATGAATGATTTCTCGAGTACCACAAACATTCGAACCATAAAGTTGGCTATATGGTAATAAGAAATTGACAGCGGCACCACAATGAAAAATGAGGTCAATTTGAGCTGCAATTGATGCATAAGTCTTGTCATCCAGTCCAAACTGACTCTGAGCAAGATCACCTCGTAGTGGGACGATACGTTCTCGAAAATGATCTTGCCATAAATGAAGAAAAGTCATATTCTTTTGAATACGATCCAATGGATTCGTCGACTGTTCACATCGAACGAGACAAATGAACTTGCAATCGATCGGATATCTATTTAACATTTCGAACAATAAGAAACCACCAACAAATCCTGTTGTACCCGTCACAAAAACCATCGATGGAAAGCTAGCAAGCATTTTTGGTTTGCCAATTGTAATATTGAGATCAAGTTCGGCATCATGTAGGAGTCGCGAAACGATCGAATCCTGTTGAATCAATGAAGGATTTTGAGCAAACTCTGCTAAACGTTTGAGATTCATCTCGGATTGGAAAAGAATACTGAGTGGTAGAGTGATTCCGAGATCCTCGCGAACCATTCGTGATAAACGTACGGCTGCCAAGGAGTTACCACCGGTAGCTAGAAAACCAACATCATCATCGGTTGTCAACGATTGACCTGTGACAGTTTCGATGATGGTTTTCAACCGTTGTTCCAATGTGTTTGTTGTCTTCAATCGCTTTGCATAATGAGCAATCAATTTGGGGCGACAAGGCTTCAAGGACGAAGTGAGCAAACCATTTTCGACGATGAATGGTTCGAAATCAATAATTATTCGTGATGGAATTTCGTGCTTTCGAAGTGATTCCTTGGCACCAATTGCATGCAAATCATGCATGATTGCGTCATAAAATTTCGGGTCTGATTCGAGCGATGTTATGTTGTTCTCGATGGCGAATGCTTGAGCGCGATCTCGATTGGGTACAATAACAGCAGTGACACTGTCTTCATACAGATCACCATGTATGAAGATCTGTTCGATGAAAGCACTTCGAGTGAAGATACCCTGAAGATACTCGGGAGAGACAAATTGCCCATTGGATAGTTTGAAGAAATTCTTTTTGCGATCGATTATATAAACATAAGGTGGTTTACCTAGAATTTGACGCAGTTCAACAATATCGCCAGTACGAAAGAAACCGTCATCGGTCAATGCTGCTCGTGTTTCCGTCGGATTATTGACATATCCGGAAAACATTTGATGTGTTTTGATTAAAAGTTCACCGCGTGGGAAAGGTTGATCTTCAAGTGTAAAGTTCATTTCAGGAACTGATTCAAGTCGATAGGTAACAGTTGGATCGAAACGATTATTGAATGCTACACCTCCACATTCTGTGATTCCGTAACCATCTTCGATTTGACAATGTCGAAAGCATTTGTGCATAAAGTCGAGTACTAACGAACTGATTAGGGCACCGACAATAGCAATCGTATTACATCTTGATGGAATTAATTTTGAGAACTGTCCAAGAAGTTCTTTTTCTACTTCAGCATGTTGTTGCGAATCAGGGATCATGGTCAACGCAAGAGCTGATTTAAATTCGGAATAAATTTTATTCCAAATACTTGGTGGAGCAGCAAAAACCGTCGGTCTCACCAAAGCTAACTCTTCCATCAGCCGAGATGGATTGCCTGTGAAGAATCCAGCACGTCCTCCAAGAAGAAACGTTCCAATCAAGTTATTTCGTCCACCATACCATGCAAGTGGTTGATAGGAGAACGTCACTTGTTCGCCAGTAGATGGTGAAAGTTCCTCTGGAAAAAGACTTCTTAAAGCAGCGTCAGAAATCATGACTCCTTTCGGAAAATCTGAGCTACCACTTGTATAAACAATAGTGAGAATATCGTTCGGCTCGATAGGAACACAATTATATCGTTTACAAGAGCCCATTTTTTCGATATTACCGATGTAGTGAATCGAAAGGTCATCTTTTTCCTGCATTACTTCACTGGATTCATCAAAATTCGAGAACGACCGACAAGAACCAGTGGAATCTTGATTCGACAATTCATTGCTGTTCGTTTCTACAACAAAATAAGTTGATACAATCAATGCGATTCTCATAGATCGAAATGAATGAAGAAAAGGCGATTTTTCATTGAATATCAGCAATATTCTAGAGTTCACAAGATGCACGACAAATTGAAGAATTTCGTCGAATTTTACGAAATTCCAAAACAGATAAACTAAGCCTGCAAGAACTAAGTTAATTGAAAGGATCTAGTCAAGAAAACGTTTTAGATAACCCTTAAGAACTCATGAAATTCGAATGATATCTATTCCTACCTGGAGTCGTGTGAAAAATTGGATCCATGCAAATGAGATGGCGGAGTGATGGACATTCTGAGCGTAATCGAATAAATTTCGGTAGCATCTCTTTGTCACAAACGATCAAGGATATTTTCGTGTTATTAACGATAAAAGCAGTATCACGATCATTCAAAAGACAATATATCGGTACACTGATGAAATTTTGTAACATGCATGCGAAGTCTGATATAACCCATTCAGGCCGATTCGATGCGCAAATGCCAACATAATTACGTGGTTCGATCAAACGTCGTAGTCCATGGCCAAAATTTATCGACCGATCTCCCACTGTCTTGTAAGTTTCCCACGAATAGGTATTAGCATAGTGTTCGGGATTGTCTTTATCAAAGTCTCGTACTCCCAGACAGTGACGATCACAATAGATCTCTATCGCTGCTTCAATTGCAGATGCCATAGTTCTTCCACTAGAAGTTGTATTTTCTCCATCGCCAAAAGCCAACTCGGGAACTAAAGAGTGAGGATGTGGTGGGTACATCGTCGCTGTACATTCCTTACATTGGTCATAATTGGGACAAACTGCGCAGTTGTAACGAAACGCACCATGATCGAAAGTACGATTGCATACATCACAATACCAAAAACTTGGTTTTGTAGGAGAAGAATTCATCTTGATATTAATCTTAAAAGTAAATTTTAATGCTCGCAATAAGAGTTGATTTCGTCACTAGGGATAGAATGTTGTACAGAATTAGTAACATATACGTACGCAGAAAGTGGATGATTTAACAAGTATAGAGAAAAACAAAAGCGTATCGCTGCTTTACTTGTGATAGGTCAGTGAAGATAGAAGGTGACGTAAATGTATATGTCTCGATGTAATACAGAGCGAGATTGCGTTTCGTTCCTTTTGCTTTCAAAAATGTCAATAAGCAAAGTTGCCGAGAAACAGAAGCAGTACCAAAATTTATACTACTTATATGAGTTTTCTATCGTGTGAAACTATATACAAATATTACCTAGTACGTTTGGTAGCTGTTGAAGTAATGCATTCGGCTGATATGACTATTTAGAAATGCAATGTATATAACACACCCAAGTCGGTAGTTGTGCAATTCAGTATGTTGTAAAGTAAATGGCGAGAGAATCATTCTGATGACTGTCGACATTTTTCTGTTCTGTGTATTTGACTTTTTTTTCTAAAACGACATGACTCAAATAGTTGATTCATAGCAAAGATCAGAACAAAAAAGCACTTTTCAATGATGTTCCTAAAGTTTGTTGTAATAAAAAAAATCGAAATTGATGATTCATTTGATAATAAAAGAAGAGTCTTATTAATGTTGCAAATCTGCTATCAGATTTAGCACATATTCTTTGATAATAATTCCTATTAGGTACCTCCACATTACTTGTTTTAAATTGAAGGCAAAAGAACAAATATGAATCAAAGTTTCTTCAGACATAGCGCACACAGCAGAAAGGATCTTTATTGTGAGAAAAAAATCTCATTGAGACAGAATCCAATGTAACAGAATGTATTGTGTCGATGAATGATAATTCAAAAGTCATCGATAATCATTTGATGTGATGACAAAGATTTCATCGGGAAGCTTGAAAATGGTATTTTGATCGACTTGTACTTCTTCACCATTACAGTCGACAGATTGATTCCGATATGCGGAATGACAACAAAATCATTTTATTTGATCTTACACGTTACGCAAGTATGCGACGGTTCTTGCTACACTAAATTGATGTGAAACTAGCACAACACGATCCGTCACCATACTCGTGGTGACCATTTCATTGGTTGTCTCACTGAAGCCGATGAACAAATTCAATAGAGGGCACACCTAGTCGGAAATAGCAATTTTGTAGTACATCACTCCACCGCCTTTCACAAGTTCTCAACACTTTCATAAATAGCTAATCCAGGCAAAATCGTGGCAAACGATTCCGCAACAAAAAAATTAATGAAAAATATTAATAATTAGTGCGGTAGTGGCGGCAGTACTCAACGCATGGGATTTTCTGACTGTTAAAAGGTTTTCTGGGATCTTCTTCATACATCATTTGATTCAGCTAGATCAGGGCTATCAATGGGTGTGGGTCTGGGTGATTGAAGAAGATTAACTCAAATGCACACTCACACCTACCCACACCCTTTGCATTTCTGTAGCAGAGTTAACGTTTATCAGAGACCCATTCGGTTATCTCTAGATTGAAAGACGATGAGTTATAAAATGAGTGAGGATATGGGTAAAACTGTGAGAAGTATAGTTCTAAGAAGAATCAAGAGATGTCAACCAAGGAGAAAGCCCATTTTTTGGACTACGGGATTCTAAACTAAGTCAAAATAAAAAGCAATTAAAAATGGGGTGTCGGTGGGTGTATGGGTGTGGGTGTGGGGTGTGGGTGTGGGTGTGCGTGGGGTGTGGGTGTGGGGTGTGGGTGTGGGGTGTGGGTGTGGGTGTGGGTCTGGGGTGTCGGGTGTGGGGTGTCGGGTGTGGGTGTGGGTATACATGCAGCGAAGATGAACACCCACACCCACACCCACCCACGCCCAAAAACCGACTTTGCTTGTTAATCAATTTTGCGTACTCACTGTATATATGTCATCAGATAATAGCGATTGTTATAATTGGAATGAAAAATCTATGAAAGAAATATATAGAAGCAGTGAGACAATATAAAAGGTTGAAAAAGAAGAATATCAATTTACATTAAAACGTGTCTATTTGTAGAAACAAGTATTGTATCGAAAATGTCGATCAAAAGTTTATCTTTTCATATAAATAACATATTGGTACTATTCTTACTTGCCATTATTGTTTATATTTCTCTCATTGTCGGTAAGATACAAATACGAGAGAGAAAAGTTTTTTTTCAGAGTGATAGATCTATGCATTTCCAGTCATTTTATCAATGATAATGTGCAATGATTATTCCAATCTCTGTATTGAGAACTAAACCCTTCAGTTTCATCTTCAATGATTTCGGTTAAAAGATCATTTTCAATGAATAGGACGATATATACATACTCACTAACGTTAGCGGTATTATATTTCCTCATTAGATTCTCACTTGATAGATATCTACCATACTAGAAATATCTTCATAAAATGGTACCACTTGTTAGATTTTTCCCATCATAATATCTTCACTAATAAAATTTCTTAGTGACTTCTTTCAACCAACCAGATTTCATTTATAATGTCTATATATAGTATGCTATTTGTGCATAAATCGTTTTGACGTATTAGATTACGAGAAGCAATAAAAATGAATGATTGAATACATTTCCGTTCGAGAAGAAAAATCAAGTACGTCGATAAACATGCAGATATAAATGCAAAGTAATTATAGAATATTTGATATGAATATTAGAGTTTTATGAAATGAACTATGTATTAATTAAAATCTCGCAGCTTACAAAAACAAAACAAGGCAGATTTAACATTAGATGATTTTTAAAAACTAACTGAGTAATATGTAATTATCTTAAAATCTTTTCATACTACTTTTGTGACTTTAGTAGAAACTGATTAAGGAATTTTACTGAGGGGCAATAATAAAAAAAATGAACGATAAGAAATGAAATGATCGAATGTATGGGAGACATGTTCTAGTTTTTACAATGATCCCTCTCCTTTTTCTTTCACTGGAAGTGAGCTACATCATTGACACTTACCTCAGATAAGATCATGTAACGATTTTGTTCGATCTTGTTTCTCTGTTTAGATCATCGTAGTGATGTTAATGCACTTATACTTACTCTTGATTTTACAATTATTTTCATGTTTTTCCGCTGAAACTAAACCAAAATTAACTTTCGATGAATTTTTTGATTATACTACGTTTCCATTCTTGAGATTTTCTCCAACTGGTCAACATTTGCTTATTCAAACAAGACATTCATCATGGAATACGAGTTCTTATGAGAATACTTTGTGGCTTTATGATATACAAAACCAAACAAAAAAATTAATTACAACAAATCTTCATAAATCAATCAAACCACAATGGTCACCAAGTGGTAACTATATTGCATTATTACCAAAAAACCATTCATCGGTAAATAAGACTGATGATCTTCAAAATAAGCAACAATCAGAACAATATATTTATTTATATTCTCTCATATCAGATGAACTATTACCTATTCAAATTGAAAATGATAGTCTTTTAGCTTTTACATGGTCTAACAATGATTCATCTCTTTACTTAGCTGCCATTAATTTTCAGTCAATAGCTGAAGAAAATGATTTGTATAAAGATGAATGGAAAGATGCTGTTCAATATCGACAAAGTATCATGCGTAAAACTAGTACAGTCTATCGTATTGATCTCAATTCAAATAACCCCTCATTACCTGTAGAAAGAAACATCATACGAAATGTATCCTCTCTCATCAGTCAATTATTATATGTTTCATTTGAAGAAAAACTTATCTTCTCATCTGCATCTACACTAATCGAAAATTTAGATGATTTTGAACTATATGCAATTGATCTTCGAAACACATCTGCATTGTCAAAATTAACAAATAATGAAGCACTCGAAATAGAATTACAGTTGTCGATCGATGGTCGACATATACTATTTCGAACGATTAATCTCAGTTCGAATAAAGGAAAATTTAACGATGCACAATATCGTCTTTATTCCTTAAATTTGATGAATGGACAAATAACACGTTTAGGAGAAAAATTTCATGGTAGTATCTTTGGATATACACCCAAGTCTGATTCTAGTGTTTATATACTTGGACAATTAGGAACAGAAGTACAAATTTATACACAACGATCACCAACGGAAGATTTAATTTATCATAATGGATGGAATGGAACATACGACTTGATTGTATCATCACCTAATAATAGATCAATTGCATTTATTTATTCATCATTCGAAAAACCAATGGAAATTTATTTGATTGACAACATTGATCAATTGAAATTAGCACAAGCAATAACCAATGAAAATGATTTATTTACTCGAAGAAATCTACCGAAAACAAAAGTGTACAATTGGATAAATGAAGATGATCATCGAGTGCTTGAAGGAATACTTCATTATCCACCTGAAAAGTTTGAATCTAAAAATCTATCTCTTTTAGTTCTTATTCATGGTGGTCCCTATTGGGCTAGTCTCAATGTACTTCACCTAGATGGGTATGATTGGGCTTCGTTAGCAGCTTCAGAAGGTTGGTTAGTGTTAGAACCTAACTATCGAGGATCAACAGGCTATGGTGATCAATTTCTCAATGAAATTCGTTATAGACCTTTATCTCTACCAGGAAAAGATATTCTTTTTGGAGTTAATCAATTGATTAAAGATGGCATTGTTAATCCACAAAGACTTGCTGTTGGTGGTTATAGTTATGGTGGTTTTTTAACAAATTGGTTGATTACACAGACTAAACGTTTTAATGCTGCTCTATCTGGTTCTGGCATTGTTGATCATACTTCAGGATGGGGTATGATGGATCTACCTGTACTGCTGAGCTATTTGCTTGGAGGATTTCCATGGGAAGTACCACATATTTATCAAAATGAAGCACCTATTTATCATTTAGATAAAATACGTACGCCTACACATATCATTACTGGTGAAGATGATATTCGAGTTCCTGCAAGTCAAAGTTATATATTAGAACGAGGACTTCATTATCTTGGTATACCAGTAAAATTAATTACTTTTCCAAAGGCAGGACACTCATTGAATAATAATCCTTGGTATGGAAAAATAAAAGTTCGAGAAGAACTCAAATGGTTACAAAAATATGGTAATCAATCAATGAACTACAATGAATTATCTAGTAACAGTGAGAAATCGAAATTAACTTATGCTTTGCAATTCTATATGATCTTGTTTTCGATTGTAGTAATAAATAATAAATAAAATTGGTCGGGTGCCGATTCACTTGACCTTAGACTAGAATCATTATATTGTATCTTTTAAGAGTACGCGCTTGTCGATTTGCGGCTGGCCATACGGGATGATAACTCAAAGTATCTTCTCAAATTAAAGAGGTAACCTAACCAAAAGGACTTATTACGTATCGTCTTAGTTGATAACAGACATTTCCTCACTATTAAAAGTTCTAGAAAATCGTATCTCAGCACAACCATCTTATCGAATGAATTTCCACTACTTGGCGATGGTATTGAATTTAGTTTTTTTTAGTTTTAAAAGAGTGTTTTAACCATAGCGAAAGAAAGCAACAGATTATTTTTTTGCAACAAGTAAGAAAATTCGTGTCACATCAATGATTCACGAGCGCTTTTTAGAGTAAACAATGTATTTTTTGCAATCTGTCATGAGAAAATGAGGGTGTGTCGTTGTGAGTAAATAGAAGATGAATATCTGCACACCTTCACTGATAGGTATTTACGACTATCTAAATGTGTGTAATAGCTGGTTTCTGTGGATTAAATCAGACTCTATAGCTACTGAATATAAGCATAGAGCATAATGCAATTTGACATAAGGGTCTACAAAAATACAAATAGTGTGCAGGAAATAAATTGTCAAACAATAGATCAAACGTTAAATTACACACGGGAGCTGAAGGGTGTGTGGGTGTGGGTGTGGGTGGATGTGTGGATGTGGGTGGATGTGTGGATGTGGGTGGAT